GAGATCTCAGGACAAACAAAACGAAATTGGTTCTAAAGGACCAAGAACAACCAAAGGAGCAAAACCAAAACTTGTATATAGTTCTATACAATCCCAAAAATATAAAAACAGAGTCAAGAACTTGAAAAAATAAGATAAACCCATTAGATATAGGCTTCATAAGAGTACGTAAACATAAACAAAAAACGATTTTTATTGAAAGAAGCAAATGAAAACACAAGAAGAAGAAGAAGACGAACCATATGTATTCGGCAATGATTTTGTCAGTGGTGTCTGAGAGGTTAAGGTTGATGAGATCTGAAAGATTACTCATGGCTACACAAACACCAAGGTAAGAATCAAATCTTTCTCGTGTGTTTGGTATTGGTAGATATGAAGAGATACTTATACAAGGAAGAGGGTGCAGAGATCGAGGAAGAGAGAGTGACGTGAAGACTTAGGTGATTTTTTTTTTGGCTCTTCCATAAAAGAAAAATACAAAACTGGAATTAAATATAAAAGATTCTTCTGCGGCCCAATGGAATCTTATTTATTTTAGGAATTTATAGAGTTAACATATATAGATAAGAATATAAGATACACCAGGGAATAATACAACTTGTATGAGGTGTTGAAAAGAAAAATTTGAAAGAAAATGTAACTATTTAAGGTAAAATATATTTATTAAGAACTATATCATATTTTCTTTGTCCCATTATATAAGATATTTTAGTTTTTTTTTTCTTTTTGATCTATTTGATTAGTCAAAATTTATATTAATTTTAATTGTTTAAGACTATTTAAATTTTTGCAGTCTTTTTTTCTATTGGTTGAACTTTTTAAATGAGAAAATATTTATTCTTTCTTAATCTTTGTAATTTTAACTAAAAAATATGCAAAATAAAACATAATATATATCATATTGAAAAATATCATGATTGGAGGTGATTTCACATCGTATATGACACGTTAACTGTATAATGTGCAAAATCATGGTTTATATAAAGCTTAATTTTCTCAAATTATTTATTAATATGGTTACAACTTACAACATATATTAAATTTATTCATCACAAAATTATTTAAAAAATTATATATGAAAATACATATATATAATATTCTGGATAAAAAATATATAAGGGAGCGTTTAGTAGAAAAAAAATTGGTTTATTTTATACTAACATAAAAGGAAAATATTCTTATTACTTTAAAAAGATAAAATTAGATTTCTAGGAAAAAAATACAATTATATTAATCCTAAAAATTATGTAAAGCAGGATTGTTCTTCATGATGCAAATAAGATGATAACAAAGAACAATTTCCTTATCTCTTACTTATTTTTCTATCTTATTTGCATTTCATCGTACATGTTAAGTTCGTATCTAACAAAAAAAAATCATGTAGAGCATATGTACAAGTTGTACGAAGACACATATTTGGATGTACTGGTGTTAGATATTATTTCATTTAGGAGTTTGAATGTAATTGCATATTGGAAGGACAACTCAAATCGATATGCATCAGAGTCTTTGTTTAGCATTGGCTACTGAGATCCCAATAAATATAAGAGTTGTCTTTTAGGCACAAATGTTCAAGCTTTGATTTGGTGCAAGAAACTAATTTTGGGATTTTAAAGAAATCGGTAAGAACTCTATGGTTTATCTGGTAGATGATGAATATGACTCTATTGATCTGAATATTGTAGGTGATGAGTTTGACTTTGCTGAGCATGAAGAGAGTATTGTTTATGCTTTAGGCATGCATCGGAATCATCATCATTTAGTTATGCTTATGCTTATTGTTGTTGTGTAAGTTTGCTTCTAATCGTTGTGTTTTTGGTTATGTATTGTCACTAATTCTTATGTTTTTGGTTATGTATTGAATATAAGTTTCATTTTTATTTACTTCAGATAATATATAAAAAATATGATTAGAGTTTCAACAAATATTAATAGACATAACATAGAAAATTAAAATTTACCTTTCAGTTCAAATTTTGTGAGGAAAAATAACAAAAGTACAAATAAGATAGTCTTTATTAGACACATATATATATATATATATTTAAAAATCTATGTTTATTATGAATCGTCTAAATATAACTCATAAATAAAATTGATTATATAAACAAAGACAATGGTCCGCGAAAAACCAATCAGCACCTCTAGCTTTTGACATAATAATTATAATTAATGTCATTGATACATCATTTGAAATCAGTATAATGTTGTTAGACGGTGATTAGGTGGCACCTCAATTAGAAACTCTAATCAATTCATAATGTATATGTTTTTAAATGCAACCTGTACCTCGATGATTAATTACTTTTATAATCAAGATTAAATTTTAATTTAGTATTAGATCGAAACTATTAGCCTCACATCTCCGGTTTCATGAGTTTTGTTTTAAGGTAAACTCATCAAAAACAAAAGTCAAGTGAATATCAAGATTAGGTGAAAAATATCAAGATTGGCATATCGACATCACATGGTCATTGTTGTCCATCGAATCTTCGATTCTTGAATCTATTCACAATGACTTTTCAACCCAAAATATTACTTGACAACCCAAAATAAACCATCGCTGGCTCTAACTAAAACACATAGCAATTTAGCAAATATGAAACCAAACAAAATGATCAAGCACGAAAGATTATATTTGTTTTTGTTTTTGTGGTCATTAACCAAACTTATTCCTCACTAAAATAATTAAACTAAAGTAATGTTCCAATTATATATAGTTGAGTTGACTTTAGTTTTTGGCTTGCATGTAAGAAGACGTTTCGTGACCGGCATTGGTTGACTCGGCCCACACAAATGAGTTGAAGTCTGAATTCGTTGACTTTTTTTAAAAAAAAAAATCATAATTCTCTAAAAAAAAATTCGTTTGATTTTTGATTATTTATGTTACAGTGATCTAAAAAATATGTAAATTATTAGATTAGACTAATAAACGAGCACGTCAGCCAAATTATGCTCGAAAATAATATAAAAGATATTTTAAATAACTTACAACGATTTTAGTTTGGATTTGGGTTTTAATCAAATATATCGTTAATTTTAAACGTGGTTTAAAAATCATTTTTTCGAGGTCAAGTTTGAATTCAAATTCACTTGTTGGTTATACAAAAAGTTAAAATTATTTTAACGGAATCAAAATATAATCTAATTATTAGATAAACTATTTCAGTTTGGTTTTGGAATCGGATCGGATTTAATTTGGTTGTTTTGGACATGTTCATAAACTAAGGCACAAGTTGGAGAACAGAAATGAAATGAGATACGTACACGGGACCAAATGTGTAATGAGACAGTGTCGATATGGTTTAACTTGCACCTTCAGAATTGTCCAATAAGAATTATTGCAATTCTCCAACTTGCATAAGGTACTTGTCCACGAAAGGTACAATCATTTTCAACTCTCTGCATATGTCATGTTTTTTCATGACATATCGTTTCAATCATTGAAAACAAATTTATAATTTTTTCTGTCAATAAATAAATAATTATTACTTTATTTTAAAATGTTGCATAGAAAGAGTTATTCGGGTATTAAGATCATATGTCGTTGTTTTCGAAATACAATTTAAGCCGGCGGAAAACAAAACTATCCACAAATTCTACCGGTTTAAATTGTATTTCGCAACCTATCGTGTATCTCTTTTTATTTCATCAATATTATCAAATGAAGAAAAAAAAATAGTTAAAAGTTTGAAAACTACTCACTCTATGACAACATCTACTAAAGCTATTTTGAATTTTCTCCCACTAGACCCAAATTTTATGGATTCAAAGTAGTAGACTTTTTCGAAATGTTTGACTTTAAGTTGCTTTGGAAAAAAGTTTTGCAGTAATAAACTAATACATGTATAATAATATTTTAGTTTTTATTTTTACTATTATATTCAATCCGCATAGTATATTTTAGTATTGACAACAAAAGTACACAACATATTATTTTAATTTTAAAAAACTTATACAACAAATTTTGATTAATTAGCTAATTAAAAAAGATACAATGATTAAATCGGTCAGGAGAGCAACGACGTGCAAGAAATTATCAAACAATACAGTACGGACCAAATGATTTTTATTTGTTACAATCATTTAAATAAAATGTTTGGTGATAATGTAATGATGTCGTGCTTAAGCTTAATATCAATCTTTATATTGGATTAACAAACTCTAAATCATTAGAATAAGAACTTGAAATCAGCTACGTGAAGATATTGTTCACATAACTGCAAAACGTACTTGGTCTTAACAAAAATTTAGAAATAGTTATTAGTAAGACAAATGTATCAAAGAAGATCAAACGCAAAAATTAGTATATTTTTATATATAATCTATCGAGATTCGAAAACCATTTATCATAAGAAAATGAAAAATGAAAATCAGAAAGTTAAGGTTGTATGATCAAGTATTAGAGTTTGAGTGGTTCTTTCGCAAACATATTGTTTTATGAATATTGCTAGCGTTTAAAACTATATATTATACATATCAAGGATATTTTAGAGAAATGAAGAGCATGGCTTGATGCCATTAGTCTAACATGTTGTAGTCTCAAATTTTCTCAGCACTCTCAATGCATAAATAAAAAACCACAGTTCCCATCTTCTCTAGGGTAATTAATCTGGTTAATTAGTGTTTAAGATAGAAAAATCTGGAGAGATTCTCATCTTTTATGCGCTTGTTAAGGTTTTTTGCCTAGTTTTTTCTGCTCTTAAATTAAGAATATGTCCTCTTTCGATTTTTGTTTTGACATTATTTGTTTTGTTTTTCTAGTTCAGTTTAGATTTGGGGGAATTTCTTTGTTCTTCCGGCTGTGTTTCCGGGACTTTTAGTTGTCCGTCGGCTTACACTTCCCTTTTTTGTGCGTCTGTAATCCTATCCTGGTTTTAAAACAAGCTCTAATTAATAAAATATCAGTTCATGTGAAAAAAAAAAGAAAAAAAAATTCGAATGATATAACATTCATAAAAAGTATATATAACACAAAGTTTTTATTAACTACAACAATATTAGACCTTAATTACCTTTCTTTGATAAAATTCACGACGACATTTGAATGAACAAACGTATACATCAACCCCGGCCTTGGAAAGCTTAAGAATAGAAGGAAGCATGCATTTAGAATTACACACAAAGCAAAATGGTCTACAACAAGAGTTATTGGATACAACTTTTGTGTTCTTGTATAATGAACTACGAGAACCTAACATGATATATGAGAAGTCTCCGACAACACAAGAAACATGTAATGTGGTTCCACAATCATTGCAAGTATAGAACCATTCCTTTGGATTCACTTTTGTTTCACATGCCTCACACCAATACTCACTAGCCACATTCGTGTCGCCGAATGATAAGACGAGAGGATGATCATCGTACCTTATACGCATTACCTTGTTCGGTAGAAAAGCACATTGGTTGTCCAAACTATACTCACACTCATCACATCTATAGGCTGATCTCTTCTTCCCGCATCCATTACAATGCGTATATGTAGTTGAATAGTAATATAAAGAATGCTGATGGCTTTTGTGCTCAAGTGTATCTGAAATTGCCGCGCATCGTACATCAAGAATCCTAGAATTAAGGCTAGATTTGTACCTGAAACCTGTGAATTCTTGTAAACAAAGCCAACATTGATAAACGTCGCCGTCAGATATGAGTAGTGTGAATGGCAGATTGTTGTATACATGACGTTTCTTCCGTGGATGGTTAGCACATTTTTCGTGGAGAATGAAATTACATTGCTTACAACTGTAGAACGGTTCTGATAAAATCTGGAGGACACAAGCTTCACAAACTACGTTTTCAGGTTGAATTTGACCATGGCCATCTTTGTTGATTTGTAAGGTATGATCATGACTGAAATGTTTTATAGTGTTATCATCAATCACCTCGAATGGCGCAATTTCTTCTTCTTCAGGCATCCCTTCTAGCTCTATCATGTCCCATACATCTTCTCTCGTTGCGCACCGTGAATGAACAGCAAAACTAGGACATTTGACACAAGTATAAGCCCCGTAGAAGCCATCCACATTCTTACGACAAACTTTGCATATACATGACTTCCCATGTCCAAGGCGAGTGGTGTAAGAGATGCGGTGATCGTGGCGATTGATGTTTATAACACGAGGTAAGTCGATACACTGCCGATGAATCATGAAATTACATTGAACACAAAAATAAGGGCTATATCCACCTAGCGTCCCACAAGCATTGCAAGTGAAATCAATGCGTCTTGGAACAAGATGAAGCTGATGTTCATGGGTCGTCAGGCTTACGACACGAACCGGTGGTGGGTTTTTCATACATGTTGTGCAAATGCTGAAATTACAAACATCACAATGGTGAAGTGTGTGTAGTGATACTTCTTTTGAAAGGCTTTGATCAAACTTCTCCTCGCAAAGAAGACACTTCTCATCGATGTAACTAGGTGCTTCTTCGAATGTAAGAAGCTTGAGTGGGTGTTGAGGATGGGAACTATGGTTTGCTTCTGGGAAAAACTCAACACATTCCTCATGGAAGACTTCTTTACATTGATAACATACATAACATAGTTTCCCATAGAAAAGTGGAGAGTTACACGTTTTGCACTCTCTACGTCTTACACGCTTAGAAGAGCTCCATACATCAAAGAGTTGAAGAGGATGCTCGTGTAGATGAACAGCTCCCTTAGCACAATATAAATCCAACTTGAAGTCGTCACAGATTAAACATATATAGATCCATCTTTCTTTAACTAGATGTATTCCACATTGGTTACATGCAGATACTTTGTTGTTTAAGCTCAGCTTAAGAGGATGATGAGGATGAGAAGAGTGTTTTATTTCTGGTAAAGACTCAGCACAATCTCTATGAAACGTAGGAGTTTCACAGCCTAACTCGTTGCAACGGTAGCCTCCGTAGATGTAACCTTTAGATCCACACCCGTTACAGCCGCCGCGACGAGAAGAGAAACGAGTTATAGGTAACAAAGGGTGTTTGTGAATAGGTAGCTTTACTGATTCCATAGTGATTTGATTTGGATTTCCAAAAAACTAAATCACAGCTCTCTTTTGGAGTCGTTTGAGAGTGAATGGTGTTGACAGCCAACTCCACGTGAAATGGTTCTTGGTGTAACAACTAACATTAATAGTTACAATTATGTAAGTAAATTAATCCTGACATTACACGTGAAATGGTTCTTGATTTAAGACAACTAACGTTAAAAGATTTCTAAGTATTATTGTATAATTTTGTTAATTTGAAAAAGAAAAAATAATTAATCGGTCAACAGATTCAAGACGTGCAAGAAAGCTTTGTTATTATCGTACGATGCTGTTAGGGATAATATTAGGAGATGATTGTACAAGAACAAGGAAATTATGAAGATAAGAAAGAATCTAAATCTTATGGTTTAGGATATTTATTTTTATCTAAAAATGTATTATTTACATTAGTTTTTATCTTAATTTAAGAAATTAGGTTTGTTTATAGGGAATTTTATATAAAATGCCATTTACAAAACTCATTCGTTTAAAACTGCCACTTTTTACTTTGTTTTTTCTAAAATGCCATAAGTAAAAAAAAAAAGACAAAAATACCTTTAAAGAAAGAAGACAAAAAATCTCCAAGAGATGGGACACTTTAACACATGTCATAATAATTATAGACATTATTTAATAGACAAGTTTTTTTTATCGACGACACTCTTTGTTTTTTTTGCACACTCGATTATAGAATTTTTTTTTTTGTCTATCCATCTAACATATGTATTATGGGCAAGTTCGTTTATGAACAATTGGGTTTACTTTACTATATAAGTATAATGGACAACAAATTAGGAAACAAAAATAAAAGACATGTTACAGATCTAGTCCATCTACACATAAATGTGTTATCCAAAGTGTATACATAGATGGATCGTTAATGATGTATTCCATAGATGCATCATTTGTTTTATCTTCTCCTTAATTGCTTGTGCTTTCAAGAGATCTGTATGATGGACAAGTTTGGTCTACTAATTCCGGTTCACCAGATCTCGTATATCGGAACTGGTTATGGTCTGCCGAGACTGATTCGCCAGATCTGTTCCTCCGAAATTGGTCCATCCAAAACGGATCTCGTATGTAGCCACTGGTCTGTCGAGACTAGTTATGCTACGCCAAAACTGGTTATGATCCATCGAAACTTGTCCATCGGATTTGGTCTGCTGAGATTGGTTATAGTCTGTCGAAATTAGTCTGGTAAAACCAGTCCGCCGGAATTGGTTCACCGGAACTATCGCTTAGCTTTATCCAGCAAAAGCCTGTCCAGCCGAAAGAAAACAACCAATGTGGTTTTCAAAGAAGTGTTCAAGAACCTTTAAATTATAGTTCTGTATTTTTTTCTTTTCATCTCCTGGAAGTATGACTTCAGTTACATTACTTTCAGTACCATCTTTAAGACTATCTCATTATAAACTTTTGTTTTCCAATTCAACATTTTATATTCTATTAATCCATTTAAAAAATGCAGTCACAATTACTTCAACTAAACGAAATTAGAAAAACTTATCAATAGCATTGTCACAATACATTATTTAAGATAACTAAACAAACAAACTATGCTTTGATTTGGGCTTATTTAGATATTTTTATATTGTATCGGTGATTTGGGCTTATTTAGATATTTTTAGATTTTAGTGAATTTATAGATATTTGAGGAGACTTTAAGATTTAGAAAATGATTTCAACAAATTTTGCAGAATTTTTGTTTCAAATTGTTAGTGGTGATTAGTAAACTTTCAAGGCATTTAAGAAAGATAAAAATAAGATAAAATGATATCTTTAAAAACTGTTTATAAAGAAAAAGATAGTTGAACATGTTGGCTCTGTTCTTTTCAAAGTCACTCGATGAGCGACAAAAAAATTATACTTAAGCATAATTTGTTTTTGAAATCATCTGAAATCTTTTTAAGCATAAGTTTACTTAAAATATCATTTTTTTCCAATAACCTGAGATTTGAAAAGATTTTAAGAACTGGAATAATTATAACAAATAGTAGATGCAATAACATAAAATTTTAATAGATTTGATAGAATCACCAATCCAATAAGGAGAGATTGTTTAAAACATAAAAATCATCTCAAATCAACGTAACGATTTCCCCCCCTTAAGAATATATAATTACGTAAACATTGTAAAGAACAAATGTATACATCATCTAGGGCCTTGGAAATCTTAAGAACGGAAAGGAGCTTGCATCTAGAGTTACACCCAGAGCAAATTGGTCTACAACTAGAGGTGTTGGATACAACTTTTGTGTTCTTGTATAATGAACTACGAGAGCCTGGCTTGATATATGAGAAGTCTCCCACAACACAAGAAATATGTAATGTGGTTCCACAATCATTGCATGTATAGAACCATTCCTTTGGATTCACTTTTGTTTCACATGCCTCACACCAATATTCACTAGCCACATTCGTGTCACCGAATGATAAGATGAGAGGATGATCATCGTACCTTATACGCATTACCTTGTTCGGTAAAAGAGCACATTGGTTTTCCAAACCATAGTCACACTCATCACATCTATAGACTGGTTTCATCATCTCGCATCTATTACAACGCTTAGATAAATTGGAGCTGTAGTATAAAGAATGTTGATGGCTTCCGTGCTCAAGTGTATCTGAAATTGCAGCACACCGCACATCAATATTCATAGAAAGGCCAGATTTATACCTGAAACCTGTGAAATCTTGTGAACAAAGCCAACATTGATAAACTTCGCCGTCAGATATGAGTAGTGTGAATGGCAGATTGTTGTACACATGACGTTTCTTCCGTGGATGGTTAGCACATTTTTCGTGGAGAATGAAATTACATTGCTTACAACTGTAGAACGGTTCTGATAAAATCTGGAGGACACAAGCTTCACAAACTAGGAGAATTTGGAAATGACCATCCTTGTTGATTTGTAAATTATGATCATGACTGAAATGTTTTATAGTGTTATCATCAATCACCTCGAATGGCGCAACTTCGTCATCTTCATCAGGCATCCCTTCTAGCTCAATCATGTCCCATATGTCTTCTCTCGTTGCGCATCTGGAATGAACAGCAAAACTAGGACACTTAACACAAGTATAAGCCCCGTAGAATCCATCCACTTCATTACGGCAAACTTTACATATCCACTTTCCATGTCCAAGGCGAGTGGTGTAAGAGATGCGGTGATCATGGCGATTGATGTTTATGACACGGGGTAAGTCGATACATTGCCGATGAATCATGAAATTACATTGAACACAAAAATAAGGGCTGTGTCCACCTACCCTCCCACAAGCATTGCAAATGAAATACATGTGTCTTGGAACAAGATGAAGCTGATGTTCATGGGTTGTCGGGCTTTCGACAAGAACCGGTGGTGGGTTTTTCATACATGCTGTGCATATGCTGAAATTACAAACATCACAGTGGTGAAAGGTTTTTGATATTAGTGCAAAAGAACCTTGATCAAACTTCTCCTCACAAAGAAGACACCTCTCGTCCACATAATCAGGTGCTGCTTCAAAACTAAGAAACTTGAGTGGGTGTTGAGGGTGGGAACTGTGGTTTGCTTCTGGAAAAAACTTCGCACATTCTTCATGGAAGGCTTCTTTACATTCAAAACATTCATAACATAGTTCCCCGTAGAAAAATTGAAAGTCACACGTTTTGCATTCTCTCCATTTGAAGAATCTCTCATAATGCTTGATAGTACTCAATACATTGGTGAGTTTAAGAGGATGCTCGTGTTGATGGGAGCGTTCAGCTTCTTTTGCACAATGTAAATCCAACTTGAAGTCACAGATTGAACACATATAGATCCATTTTTCTTCAACCAGCTCAATTCCACATTGATTACATGCAGATACTTTATCATTTAGTTGAAGCTTGAGAGGATGATCAGGATGAGAAGAGTGTGTTATTTCTGGTAAAGACTCAGCACACTCTTTATGAAACGAAGGAGTTTCACAACCCAACTCATTGCATCGGTAGCCTCCGTAGATGTAACCTTTAGATCCACACCCGTTACAGCCGCGACTAGAAAAAAACCGAGTTATAGGTAACAAAGGGTGTTCGTGAATTGGTAGCTTTACTTTTTCCATGGTGATTTGAGTTATAGGTAACAAAGGGTGTTCGTGAGTTGAGAGTGGTGTTGTCTTTTATTTTACTTGTGTCTCTTTCGGATTTCTCAAAGTTTCAGGCCACACAGACAAAAAGCACGTGAAATGGTTCTTGTCTTCTTGATATACCAAGTAACATTAATTAGTTACAATTTATATGTGTAAATTAATCATAACACCACGTGAAATGGTTCTTGCGTTCTTGGTAACAACACAACTAACATTAACTAGTTACAATTATTATATGTGTAATGGTTCTTGCCTTCTTGGTAACAACACAACTAACGTGAATTTTTTTTGAAATCTTAATTGTATAATTTATTAATTCTGCTAATTTTTTTTAAAAATAAAATGATTAATCGGTCAACGTACCATGTCGTGCTTCAGCTTATATTATGCTTAATGAAACTTTCGATTTAATGAGTTGTATACAAATTTGTAGTATTTTTTCTTTCTCTTTTTTTTTTTTTTTTACGTTCGGTGATTTTCATCAAAGATGTGAAGGTTTTTTTTGTAGGAAATATTTATTTCCAATTTTTTCGTAGGAAATTATCATGTTTTCTTGTAGTGAAATAACATATAGGCTAATGACGTGATTAACGACATCCTTACTATAGTAAAAGAGAAGTATACAGGGATTCGGGTTGGATTTTTTAAAGAATTCCGGGTTAAATGTTTAATCGGGTTTACAAACATATCAAACAACTAAACCGAGTTTTAAAAAACCAAAAAACACTACATTAAACATAATTTACTTTACCAAAAAACCCAAATCCACAAAACGAACAAAAGTTACTAAAAAATATTACATTACAATTTGTTTTCTTACACATGTCTAAAAACTATATAATACAATATATTTTGAAAATATTCATCAATCAAAAACTAATTTAACCATCTTAGAAAAAACAAACTTAACTATCTAAATTAAACACCAACAATCCATTTTCTTAAAATTAAAAATTTACATAATTTGGAAAAAAAAACAAAAACCGACATTTTTCCCCTGCCCTGTAGCGCGGATCTAGGCCTAGTTGTGTATTAAAAGCTATGTTAAGTCCAACAAAACGCATACTAGAGCAAGCCAGTTAAGAGCCTTTGAAAAAAGAAACAGAAACTGTGTGCGAGTTTTTCCATGATGATCAGTGGAAATTACCCATTACGTCGGAAACTCTTAATATACTAAAAGATACAAAACGATCTCTATACAAATCAAAATCTTTTAACTCCAATTCGAAGGTAGACCAACTAAGAGAAATGATACAAGAGACTTGTCTAAACTTAGAGAGCAATATTTATCCAAAAACAGTTGGTATACAAAGGTAGATGATATTTGTGCTTTCTTATAGAGTCGTATTTAATGTTTAAATGATATAAACAAGAATGATTTTACTTATTATGTAATTGCATAGAGAAAGTTTACTTATTCATGATTCATAGAATATGACTTCCACTAGATTCAAGATAGATGGAGAGAAAGTGCCTGCGAAAGGTGATAGAGAGGTCTTGGTGTTAAAGCGATGATGAACAATATGAAAATGCTTGTGGAGAGGCTTCACGTCATGCAAAGCTCTATGAGTCCAATATAACCAGAACGTACCTTTAGGTAAATGAACACCGTGCTTCCAATAGTAGAAGTAGAAACACCAAAAAGAACAAATGATGAAGTAAGTGGCAAGAGAGACAATGTAATTACGAATCACGACCATACCGCCGCCGGGAAGAAGCTGCCGACTAGGCTGTTATACGATGCCGTTTCTTCCACCACCCCCTGCATTATATTGCTACTCTGCTATCTTAAAAATGATAGTTTTTGTATGCATGTGTGTTAAATATAGCAAGAAGTGGTGGACCTAGACGTTTGTAGAAGTATAAAGAAAACGCATAACAAATGAAGTTTGTTAGATGGTTGCAAGATAGTAAACGCGATTTCACGATTTTAAAACGCAATTAATTGAATTTGGTTTATTAGGAATAATTTTATAGTTTGGGTGGAATTAGAAAGTTTATAGGGAGTATTATGATGAATAGGCCTGGGCAAAATACCCGAAGCCGAATACTCGAACTGAACCCGACCTGTAATACCCGAACCCGTTTTACTTCGGTTCTTAAGAAATACCCGATCGGTTTTTATTCTCAATACCCAATAGGTATCGGGTATTACCCAAACCGAATCCGCATACCCGTGGGTACTTTTAAGTACTCGAACACATGTATGTAATATTAGGTTTCTTTACATGTAAAGAAGTTCATTGATGAGTTTAAGTTACTGAGGCAACTTCATCTCTGTCATTATTTTAAAAAATTGTTTAAAATTGTTTTTAGTTTTTAAAAGGTTTGGTTTTATGATATATGGATAATCTTGGTTAAATGTTGCCATCTTGGGATGATTCTTCTTTCTTAGTTTCTTCCATTTATCAACTCAAATATTTTCATAATCACTTTCATTAGTTTAAGACTTTAAATTATGCTTTTGTTAGTTTGGTTTCTTATTTTGTCAGTGACTTGTTTGATTTTAATCTTTGAAATGTTCAAAACTTGGTTAAATTTGTTTACTAGTAATATATTCTTTCAAAAATTTGTTAGTTTTGACAAATAGTTTCAGATTTATGGGTACTTTGGGTAATTTCGGGTCGGATTTTGGTAGGTACTACTCATACCCAAATATATTTTGGGTAATTTTCAGATTTCTTAAATCATTACTCGAAGTACCTGTACCCGAAAAGGAACCGAACCGAACCCGACCTGAAGTTTTATAAATACCTATTAGGTTCCTATATTACTAACCCTGAAATACCCGAACCCAAAAAACCCGGTCCGAACCCGACCCGAATACCCAAATGCCCAGGCCTAATGATGAACAAGGGAGAGGCCGAATGTACAGGGTGATTTTAGTTGAACGTTTATAATATAGGGAAATTGTTACATGCAACCTATTTTCTAGAATAATAGATGAAACTATGCAAAAATAATTAGCGTTTGAATTGTATCATGGTCACTGCACACTGGACAAATCCATTAACGGATTAGATTGTTTATTGTATATAAAAACGGTTTGTGGTGGTCTGCGGTGGTTTTCTTTTATAATTTAGATATGTATCACTACGGACCATAATTGATGAATTGTGAACAAAAAGACGTCTATTCCATCTACGGTTTTGTCCGCTTCAACCGCTGACACCATTTGAACCTTTAAACTAGAGGTTGTTACCCAATAAGAAGCAGTAATATAATGAAAACAATTGAGACATGTTGTTAAATTGTGGTTTGTTATGGATTTCCAATTCAAAACCAATTAGCAATGAGTGCTGGTTCTAACCCTTTATATATTACTTAAATCATATCACATATTTTAATGTGGGATTTTTCTTTACACAAGTAATGGCTTAACTAAGGTTTAAACCATGTTTGTTGCATCGAAGACAACAAAGCTTTCGCTTCAGCTAATAATGTTGTTGTATTTGTTAGGTGTAGTGTAGTCTTAGGGCTCCTGCATTGGAGTATATTACCAGCGTCCCTCCCCTATTTTTACTCAAAAATAAATCAAGAAAAGAGAAATAAGGAAGTACGTCAATGAAAACGCGACGGTCTTTTACTTCTTCTTTTCCAATTCGCGGGCCCCACTGACACGTGCCGTCCCGCGATTTATTTCTTTTTAAAAAAAAAAATCTAAAAATTAAAAAAAAAAAAAAAAAAACTAGAGTGAGGGACGAATAACGGATGCCCACGCTCTTAGAAGATCCTAGCTTTTTTGCTCTGCCTTAGATTATCCTGTATGATCCATCCACTTGTGAGTACTTATTTAGTATGGACGTGATTATCCTGCATGCAACAATAATTCCATCATATGTTTTTTTCTGAAGTTGGAGAAGGAGTAGTCACTTATTATAATCCTTACATGAGTGATGAGATAAATAATTCACTACATATTTAGTCCAGAAAATAGTTTAATGAATAGTTTACTACTCAATGAGATAAATTTATCATTAACAAAAATGATTTTTATCACTATATTATCACACATATTCTTTTTCTATCGTTTAAATTTATTAATTATAACAAATTTTGAAAACTATTACATGGACTACTTTTAGATTCTCACGAGTAATAATACTTTCTTCTTCAATACGTAGAATCAAGGTAAACAACTCTAATATACATAACTAATTTCTTGCAGAATTTATGTCCATTAAAAATATTTGTAATAAAACAAAAATAACAATTTAATTCTCAACAACTCTAATATACATAATTGATTTCTTGCAAAATTTATGTCCACTAAAAAATATATAATAAAATAAAAATAACTATTTAATTCTCTACACCCAAAATTGAACCGTCATAATTAACAACCGTTATCGTTATCGGCCCATTAGATTTATTTTTTCCTTTTTTTTACATCATCGGCCCAATAGATTTATTTTTTCCTTTTTTTTACATCATCGGCCCATTAGAATTAAATCTGTCATTTTCTTTTTTTAAAAGAATATCAAATATCCTCCCGCTCACTCAAAAAAATTTGAAACAAAACAGATCTAAACCCTCACACTCACAAGAGCGTCATCGATTCGAAAAAATTCACCAAACATTTTGGGTCTCTTCTCTCTACAAGAATTTCAAATTCAAAAAAATGGGAGAAGAATCTGGAATCGCCATGGCTTCTGAAGATCGAAACCTAACCCAGAAAATCGCCAAGATCTTAAACGAGACTCGCACATCATACGCTACTCACAACCGCAAGCTAAAGGAGCTCGCAACAATCCGGTCGAAACTATCTTCTTCACCTGAGTCCGACGAAGAGGAGGATTCTTCATCTTCTTCTTCCTCAGTCCGTAGATTCTCTTCGGTGTTTTTCAAAACCCTAACCCCTCTTTTTGTCGCGGCTCAACGGAGAACCGCAGCGGCGGAGCGTGTTGTTCGATTCGTGGCGGAATTTGCTTGTCTTCGTTGTAATAGTTCAGATGGCGATTCCGATTGCGATG